AAAAAATTACAAAATTACAAAAAAAAACACCGAAGAAAAAGCAGCAACCAAAAAGTCATAAATATCTTTACGGATAGAAGACATTTACAACCTTTTGGTTGCTGTTTTTTCTTCGGTGTCTCCCAACACCCCGATATGGATGAGCCCTCCATTTGAAAGAGGGCTCATCTATTTCGCCTTTATCTTTCCATTTGTTGAAGGACCTCTCTGAGAGAGGTCCCTTGTGTTGGGAGCGGTAAGTTTTATAATAATCGTATGATAAGGAATCTAAAGTTACAAATAGAAGAATATAATAAAAATTATACATTTGCAATTATTTAAAAAAAATTAGCATAACCTCACCATTTTCATTCGAAACAGAAGATGCTAAAAAAAAATGAGAGCAAATTAAAAAGGGTTAAACATGCAACATTTTCTATTTTAATAAAAATATAGGGCAATAATGCAACCAGTTCAAAAGTGTCATATTTATTAATTAATTTTTCCACCTATTGCACATATTTCTCCATACAAAATATATAAAATATAAAACACAGCCTTACCAGCTATACTTCCACCAGACACTAAAGACAAATATATACTTAAATAAATATAAAATAATCGAGAAAATAATGTTAACATATAAATATATACATATCTAAATAATTGTTTTACCCATCCCCCTCATTTCATCCATAAAGTTGTCTAAAGTAAGAGATAAATAACTAAAGCTAAAAACAAAACTATAAACTAAACCAAAACTATAAACTAAAGTAAACTTTAAATCTTCTAAATATTAATGCTTTATTTATTAAACTAAACTAATCCTAATTTATACTTAGTTTTCATTCCAACTCCCCTAAAAGAAAGTATAAAATAAAGCTAAAGAACTTGATTTTTTAAAATTCCAGTGGCAATACAAATAAACAAATTCCTATTAACAAATATCCATACACCATGTTTGAATATATCATTGAGGAGGTTATTTAACTTGAGTTTAAATACTCAAGTAACCAAATCAGGTCTATCATTCGCATTCTGACCCTGATATAAATTTTCTGTTATTTCACGCCATTTTGGGTTACAATTAAAAGTAATAAAAAGATCTGGTTTACCATACTTTTTAATAATTGCCATAGCATCTTCAAACATTTCTTTTAAAGCTCTAGGACTTCCTACATGAGATGTAGGCAAAACTACTACTCGTCCTGGTCTAATATTATGATCATTGGCAATGTTGTTAATATGTTCATGTAAGGCATCATACTGCTTGCTTCTCAGCTTATTTTGATTATTTCTGATAAAAGCAAGACGCTGGCCTTCAATTTTTACATATGGATCTACAACATATTGCTGAAATAGTTTCTTGCCATAAAATAATGAACAGAAAAATTACCTAACAGAAAGTCTATAATTGTAGAACTGAGATAATGTAACATGATTTCTAACCAGTGTGGCACGCTCAGGGTTATGCACCAACTGATTATGCCAACCAGCATCACCTCTTGGGAAAAATAACGGATAAACCATAGGATCCAAGTTGGCTGACATACTTGATACAATTTTTAAAGGATGACCTCTTGGGTAAATAACAACTTCCCTGGAAGTTGGGGGAGCACCATCTTCACCAACAAATACAACTGCAACTTCATCATGTGGAGGTAGATTATAACGACGTCTATCACCGCCTTCAAATAAAGACATTTTTACAACAGAAGCTGAGCGACCTTCTATAGCCGCCTTACGAATTTCTTCATCTTCTACTTTAGCCATGTTTATAAATGCAAGAGCAAATGGACTTTGTTCCATAATTATAGTTTGCAATTGAAACATTAAATCACGTAAACAAAGATCATTACCACGTTGTTGCATTCTAAAATTTAGTGCAGCAAGTGGATCATAAATATATAGTTGAGAATATATTGGTGGAATATCTTGATCTGGCCTAAGATTACCTACACGATGAAAAATCTAGCCACATATTTTAAAACATGAAAGCCCATGATTCATTGGTTGAACTACATTTGCTGTAAAAGAAGCAAAAGAAAGGCAGACATTATAATTTCGAATATGTTTTAAAAAATTAGCATTAGCATTATGATCTCCATAACTCCCTGTAAACAAATCCTGTAAAGCTTGTGTAATTGGTGAAAGTGGAGGCAAAGCTACCTTACCATTATGGCAACATAGAAAATGTGTTTCATCTGGAAATTTCTTAGCACCACAGTGCTGACAAATTTGATTCATTTCTCCTAAATAATTATAATCTGGAATAGCATTACTTCTCGCTAAAGAATACATTCGTCCTTGTCCAACAGCTCTTCTTTCATTTTGGCCACAATTAACATTATCTCGATCTAGCCTATTTCTTTCATTTTGCAAACGATTATTTTCAACACGCCTTATTGCACTTACATCATCTTGTAAATACATAACTTCATCTAGCCTATCATCCATTTCAATGTCATCATTTTCATTAAACATATTTATCAAAGCAACACTAATTATTTCTTTTTTTTTACTAATCTAAAGTTAACAATAAAATAAAAAAACTTAATAACTAAAAAAATCATACTCAAAAAATTAAAAAAAAAAAATTCTCAAAACAAATATATATAAAGAAACCAAACAAATGCGAAATAAAATTAATTTGCCATCATCAAAAGTAAACAGGTTTCTTAAGTTTATTTGATAGAAGTTAAGTCTGCAACCACATCAGCAAAAACTTATTAAAAAAAGTTAAAATTTATTTTATTTCTAATAAAAAAAAAAAAAAAAAAATTGCGACAGCGTCATAGTTCATGCGTTGGGAGAAAACATCGAACAAAACACGTAATAAAACTTATTAATGCATTATGTACAATAGAAAACAGGTTATTAACGCGGGTTTATAAATTTTTTTCTCCTAACACACTATTATGCTGCCGCAACTCCAAGTATATATATAGTTATATATATATATATATATATATATATATATATATATATATATATACATATATATATATATATATACATATATATATATATATATATATATATATATATATATATATATATACACATATACATATATATATATATATATATATATATATATATATATATATATATATATATATATATATATATATATATATATATATATATATATATATATATATATATATATATATATATATATATATATATATATACATATATATATATATATATATATATATATATATATATATATATATATATATATATATATATATATATATATATATATATATATATATATATATATATATATATAGAACTATTTATTAGTGAAAACATATGAAAACCAAAATTTTTTATATAATATATATAGTATATATTTGATAAATAAACCTCTACAATTTCTTTGGTTCAACAACTCGATTATGATTAAATAACAACTCTATAAACATGAATTTTCTAATAATCTAAATAAATTATAAACAAGTAAACTTAAATAAAAATGTATGCAAATGATAAATGCTATATTAAGTACAGAAAAACAAACATATAGTAACACAGTTATATCCTAAACCAAAATTCATTAATGCAAGACAAATTATTATATATTTGTTGAAAAGCCAGAAACATATTTTTTTTCAAAGAGCTAAAGTATTAACAATACTATAGATAAATTTTATTTATAAAAAAATGTTGTCATGGCTTTTATTCCAATTTTTAAAAGCATGCGAAAGCATGAAACTACCCATAAATATCTTTTAACAGTAGACACCATAGTAATATCTATATCTTCAATATTAACATCTATAACACGAAGCTTTAAATTTAAAAGTACAATTTAAAAGAGATTAAAATAAATTAATTACTTATAAAATTTTAAAAAGATTTTATATTACTTATCTACTTAGATTAAACATTATCTTCTTAGACATTTTGAACTCGTACCATGAAAGGTTGCGACTTCTTTAAGAGAGCACTCGGTTAAGAAAAGTCAAGAAACTACTTAAAAAGTGTATTTTACAAAATTCAGAACCGTACCGTAACTATAAAACAATAGGCGTAACTATGCGCACTATTCATTAGAGTATTAATATTTAGATTAAGTAAATTTTAAGCATTTAGTAAAGTACAAATTTTTATTTTCTTTTATTTTCTTTGTGGCTGGATAGCTTTGTTGGTTAGAGCTTCAAACGAAAAGTTAAAATCTGGACTGTTAAACGATATGATTTCAAATCCTGCCACCGTCTACTCAGCACTTGAGTAAAAACGATATAGCCTAAAAATTCAAATAAAAAAAATTATATATTTTTTCTTTTAATTTATGATTTCTGACTTACTAAATATACATGTATAAGTTATGGTTCAACAGATGGTATAACTCTATTATCTTCTGTAGCTCCATCAGTCTGTACTCTACAAATAAGTGAAACCTGTACTCTACAAATAAGTGAAACCTGTACTCTACAAATAAGTGAAATCAATTGCATAAAGAAAAAAACTGCTTGTTATTATTTTTAATTTCTTCTCGCTTCATTCCTAAGAACACCTAAATTTTATTATCTATAGCCTCTGTGGCATTTTTTATGTCCTTATTGACAATGAAAGTTGTTTACATTTTGGCTTATACTGATATCGTTAGATTATTGTATTCAGAGTTTAAAAATGGTATTTGTTTTATTTTTAATAGTAATTGATTTTAATTGTAAATTTTATTGTTAGTAGCAATTGATTTTTATTGTTAATAAAAATTAATTTTAAATTAATAGTATTGATTAACAATTTAAAACTTTATGTGATGTTAAACTCGTATATATATATATGCTTGTTAAACATTTATATATATATTTTTTTTAAACACTTAAAATTATATGTTTTTCAAACACTTGTGAATGTGTCACAAGTGTTTTGTTAAACACCTGTAGCTTTATTTTTTTAGACATTTATAAGTTTTTATTTGTTAACCACATTGTATTTGTAAATAGGTGTTTCTTAGCTTGAGGGATAGGTATTTAAAAATGAAAATGTTTTTACTTTAGTCGACTGCTTGATTATCATGAATTATATGAACTACAAAGACACAGAATGGAGAATCAACTATGTAAGAATTTTTAAAACCTAACTCTATATCAATACTTTTATTAAAGTTAACAATATTTCTTAAACTCAGATGTTTTATAAAATGAAGTATTAATTTGGTAATTAATCTAGTATTATTTAAATTAAATGATTTGATAATAGTCTAATATTGTTGAATTATGTATAAATACTGTATACTTAGGTGTATACTGTATACTTACTGTATACTTAGGTCTGTTTGAAATGCTACTGATAGCTAGTGCACAGAATATATTAGTGCAGCTGCAACAAGTAGAAATATATATATATATATATATATATATATATATATATATATATATATATATATATATATATATATATATATAAATATTTATATATATATATATGTATATATATATATATATATATATATATATATATATATATATATATATATATATATATATATATATATATATATATATATATATATATATATATATATATAATAAATTACTGGTAAATCAAAACTGATTAACTTGATCTTTTGTTATCTCTAACTATTTCATTAGGTCCCTTGAAATCATCTAATTGATTACTATTAAAATTTTTCAGCTGAGTTGAACCTCAAGTAACTCAAACTTTATTAAGTCAAACAGTTTTTTTGTCTCCCTTCGGCAAATTTCTTTGGATAACTTGAATTTTTTGTATGGGAGCTTTTTTAAAAAGGTTTTTAAAAGTTTAAAAGATAAATGATAATAAAAACTGGTTTTATAGTTTTATAAATTTCTAAATAGAAGACCTCTAGCTTTTAGACACAGTTTTATTACCAAATGAGAATGAAGTTATTTTGTTGCTAAACGTTTTAGAAAGATTCCTTTTAACTGTATTGCGTTAATACAATCCGTAACTTCTTTAATTGAAACATTTTTCATGCTTTTATTAGTCTAATGGTGTACATTTAATGTAAAAAATTTTAGTACTGAATAAAGAAAAATTGCCTTAAATCGAACTAAAACCTCATATCAGCCAAAGATCGACTCAACAGGAATTCACTTTAGTTGAAAAAACCATTTTCTTTGGTCTCTTGAAGGTTCGAGTTATCTGGAATTAACTGTATATATATGCTACCATCCATAATTATTTAAATGGTCATACATTTCAATATAAAATATCAAAGTTTGCTATTGGGAGAAAACTGAAAACAAAGTCTACCTCACCTATATGTTATATTCCTATTTATTATGGGTACATTAAAATTAATATAAAGTTCAATTAGTTTATAATTTTTTTTTTTTTTAATTTTAATTCACCTCCTCAAGGCCGAGAAGGCCACTACAGACGAGGAGGCTACTTATTTGTGGCTATAACCCTCTCTCAACTCTATAACTCCGAAACACGAACCTTGACGAACAAAGCCGCTGCGCGGAAAAACGAGTTGAGCGCGGTACTACCAGGGACGTGGTGGGGATCGAACTCGGAACCACTCGTTTATGAAGCGAGCGCTCTACCACTACACCACTACCGCATTAATTTAATCAAGATTTACGACAATAACCGCATAATCTTGGCATTTTACTTAACAACTTATCCAATTTGTCGAAGTCATTTTATGTCTTTCAAAAATAAGTTTTTTTCGCATCTTTTGCATTATTAGATATATTTTTTTTGGCATTACTTCTAGTTCATTTCATAAAATATGATAGGAGAGAGATCTGGTGATTGGGGAGGCCAAATTACTCTATTGAATATTTCATCATTCTCTAACTCAGTTGAATAACTAATACAATTTTTTGAAGAATATGTTTTAGATTTAAGCTTCAGGTTTTTTTCTTCTAAAAAAATAGATGGCTTTTCATTACCTCAACTTGTTGAAAGAATAGCATGTGTTAAGTTGGGGATAGTCATAATGGAGGAATAAAATACTAATTAAATGTATAATTTACATATTGATATAGTTTTTGCATTCTAGCTAATCTATAGTTAAAAACTAGTTGAAAAAAACATTTAATTTAAATGTTAAAAAAATTTAAAGTATAAAAGTTTATAAGAAAAGGCTGATATTTAGTTTAAATAAAAAGAATTGCAAGTAACAAAATATTTCAAGTTTATTTTAAAATTTTATTTTATAGCCTGTTGTTAATGACAAACAATTTCAAAATTAATCTTATTTATTATTGTTGAACTTAATAATAGTAGTAGTGCTCATTTGTGCATGTTTGACAAGGAACTCTTGGAAGCCATTGCAACCAAGGTAAAGGCAAGAAGAGTCGGAGAACTTTTTTTTATAAGATAAAATATGAGTAAAAGTGTATGCAAATATCTAACTATGTAAACTTTAAGTTGTGTAATATTAAAACATATATCAAGTTATAAAGTTTTACTTTTATTTGAAAATTGCGGCAACATCTTCTTATTTTGATTTAAAGAATTTATTTGCCTTTTTATAAAGTCTTTTGTTCATTAAATAAAGTTAAAACATTTATTAAACAATACACCTTAGTGGTCGAAGTGATTAACTTGCAGCATTTTTTTAAATTGCATCGCCGTGGTTCATATCCCTACGCTTGCACATTTTTTAAAATACACAATAAAATATTATTGAAGTTACATAGATATTAAATACATAAACATATAAAGATATTGTATACTATAACAAACAAAAGGGATAGAATTATTAAAAAAGTTTAAAATTTCTAAAAACATCAAATAACCACGAGAAATTTGTTGTGCTTATGTCATGATAGAGATATTTTTAGCCAGATTGAAAAAATTGAAAATGTTTTGTGTTAAAAGGGGCGAATTTGAACCCTCACAAAACAACATTGATGAAAGCACATAAAACCACTGAATTATTGAAGTTATGCATGTAACAGAAAAACAATTCATTCTATAAAGTTTTTATACTGATTGCAATTAATCTTTAATTTTTTGAATTTTTTTTTTATTGCATAGCAATAAAGTTGTGCTTATATATAAAAAGTATATATAAATAAACATGTTATACGCAAATTTAAAAAACCACTTATGTAATGTTATATATAGGATCATGTGCAATATAAGAATACTTTTTGAATAATTACAAGTCTCTTATAAGGTTCGGTTTGGTAAAGATCTTTATTTTATGGGTCTAGACAGCTAGGTATATATGGAAAAAGTGTAAATAGGTGAAAATAAAATGTATATAAAGAAAAAGTATAGAAAAAGTCAGTGTGGAATAGACTTAAAAAGACCTGTGTTTTTATAGGTGGGGTCAGCTAATAAACACATAAATAGTTCTTTTATCAAAAGTTTACTGCTTTATCGATTTTGAAAATTTTGTTTACAGTAACTCAAGCTTTGTTTACAGTTTATAGTAAACAGTCTGATATGGTAATTAAAAATTCAAAAATCATTTTTCATTTTTTTCAAAAGCATAACTCAGCTGCAGTGGGGGTGCTGCTATATTGAGTGAGGGTTTGGCAGCAATCTTTTTTCCTTTATTATTGAAATAATAAAAGAAAAGATTGCTGCCAAAAAGTATATTTTAGGCCGCTTAACTGTAGAATTACCTATGTATATAGGTAACTCTACAGTTAAGCATAAAGAAAGTATTCATATTAAGTGGGAAAAACCCGATATAAATAAACAAGTAAATAATGTTAAAAATGACTCTTGTCATTTTAAATACTTAACCGGTTCTTTTATTATATTTGACATTTGTTAAAATTATTTATAATAATATACATTATGTATATATATGTATATACATTATGTATAAATATGTATATAATATTATATATATTTATAATAATATACAATATATATATATAATAATATACATTATATATACACAAATTTACATAAGTTTTTTTATTCATTAGCGAAGCTAATAGATGAGCGTAATCTATGGACTGAAACTGCATTCATGTTATCATTAAAAGTTATAGAAAAGCATAAAATGATGACACTTCATAGGCTTCATTTGTTTGAAGAACTTTGGCACAATATTATTAGTCAGGCTGTTAAAACATTATTACATAAAGATGAACAACAGGTTATTTTATAATTTTTTTTTAGATAACATCTGCAGAACAGGGCTGATAACACTTTTTTTTTTTATAAAGGACCTTTTTTTTTATTTTATAGAAATTTCAAAATATAGAGGACCTTTTTAAGAAATTGATGATTGTGCCCCTCCACTTCGGATGTAATGTTGTCGGCCCTGCAGAATATTCTATTATATATATATAATATATATATATACAAATAGTATTGCGTACTTTGGTAAGCAATCTGACGTCATACTGAAATAGCCGGGTGCTGGGGGCTTCAGTACATACAACGACTAACAAATAGCCTGACTCGCAGTGAAGTGCTGCTACATCGACTGAGTATTTGGGATAGGGAAGCAATCGTTTTATTTATCATTCTTCGTTTTTTTCTTCTTCTTTTTCAAAAAAAACGGTTTACCTTGAAGTAAGCACAAAAAGTGAGCAAATGCTTATCAAAACACGCTTTAGTAAGTGTATATATATATATATATATATATATATATATATATATATATATATATATATATATATATATATATATATATGTAGTAGTGTTACTGCATCAGAATGCCTATTAGATAGTTTCTAGATTAAACCCTAAGACATTCGTATAGATAAAAAGTGTATTGATAAGAAGTTTCTAGATTAAAGCCTAACACATTCTTATAGAGGGGAGGTTTATAAAGGAAGGGTATACAGATTAAACTCTTGCACATATTTTGTAGTATCATGTCTCATGTGTTTTTTTGTAAATTGCTTAATAAAAATTATATTTTAAAGTTATAGATTGAGATGGAAAAGTAAACAATATGAAAATGATTAGCAGTGACTAAGCAGTGACTAACTTTTCTTAAATAAGTGTGTTTTAGAGTTGAGAGAAGGAAAGTCAATAAAAATGGCAGATTTAATGACAGTGATTGTTCAGTATTTAAAATTCAAATTGTTTTAACTTATAATAGTTTCAAATGAGTTTTGTCTAAATTATCTTGTTATTTCACAATCATTATGTTGTATAATGAGATCTGCTCTATGCATAAAAAATTGAATAGTGGGTTCTCCTTTATTAATGACATTTTGAAGTGTCTTAGGATTCTTGCTACTGAGATAAAGTGCAAGATTTAGTAATCTTTAAATAACAATTTTGAACATTTGATCTTTTTTCAACCATTTCTTATTGTAACAAAAAAGTATTTGTTCTCAGAAGAATTCTTCTGATGAAAATGATGAAAGTAATAAATATAATCAGATATGGCTGCTAAAAAAACAAAAACCATAGAGAAAAACAGGAAACCATAGATAAGAAGAGAAAATCAAATGTAAGGCTGAAAATCAAGAGTAAGGCTTAATTTAATAGACAATAAGAAATAAAATAACTTATGTCCAAATAAATAATATTTAGTTTTGTAATATCTAAAAAATTATTTTAACTATAAATTTTATTAATAACCTAAAGATAAAATATTTAATAATAAATTTATGATTATAATAAGTTCAATAAATTTTAGATTAATACAGTGAACATTTTAAAAATCTTTTTATTTCAGAAGATAGGCATTAGCTTTAGTTGCCTTCAAAAATATTATACTTTTTAGATGGAATTGATAAAAAACAATGTAAATGATTGGCTAAGAGTTGGTAATCTATTTGATGAAAGATTATCTCAAGCTGAAGTAAACAGCTACTTAAATGTAAGTACAATATTTTAAAAAAAATTTAGTAATTTAAAATTAAAGAATTATAATTTGTTAGGTTAATGTTATACTATTATATATATAATATTATATATTTTTTATTTAAAGATCAAAGAGGTTTTTTTGGAGATCAAAGATTGGGCTTCAAAGTTCCAAACTCAGTAAGTCAGTCTGAATCTAAGTAAGTCAATTTATTCAGTCTCTGGCAATCCCATTGTATTTATTTGTATTTTGTAAACATTTGTTTATTGTTACATTGTTATTATTCTTAATATATTTGAAGATAATAAAATAATGATTGATATCAGGGTTACATTGTTTAAAATACTTAATTAAAATTTAAGAACTAATGAAAAAAAAAAGGAAATAATATATTATTTGTCAGTTTAATGCAATCTAAAAACAAAAACTAAAATTAGATTAGATCTGTAAGTTTAAAATTTGTTAATTTCAATTCAATTGATTTCATCATTTTGAAGGTAATGATGAGCAATAGATTAAATTTAAAATTTAGAACAGCTAAGAATGTTTAAAAAAAAAAAAATGCAGTTTAAACAAGAATTAAAATGAAAAAGATAACGATAAAAATTAATTATTAATATAAAGCTTTTTTTAATTGTTTTTAAAAAGAGTCAAATTTTTTAATTTTGTTTTGTTTAGAAATATGATGGTTAAGTAAATTTGTTACTTTGTTCATATCAAAATATTTTTAAAACTTGTATAAAAGTTTATTTTTAAATCAATTGGTATATAATTACTTATAATTAGTAATTACTTTTTTTATATTTTGTTATTGGACTTTTAGTTTGTTAGTATCCAAAGTGCCAAATTTAAACTTTTTAAATGCTTAATCTAACTTGTTATTTTCTATAAATTCTTTTTACTTCAAAAAACACAGAAGTAGTGTTATTTGTAAACTTTATTTTCAGACTTGAAAAAGGTTTTCAGCATCTACTAAATGGTATTAATATTAAAGAGTTACTTAGCAGATTGAAATCTTGGGAAAAACATTTTCTAAATGAAGCTGACAGGTTTTCTGATGCTATATTGCTTTGTAATGAAGACGATCTATTAAAAATGACATCGTGTTTAGATCTTTGTTGGGAAAACTCTGCTCAGGTTAGAAATAATCTTAACTCTGACTAAGTAAAGCAGAATTTTCATTAACTCCTAACAAAAAATTCTTTTAGACATCAAATTTTCACAGAGCTAAATCTTTTTGGCTTTTACAACATTTATTGCAGGAAAATGTTTTGTAATATCTCTAAATTATATAGAATATATAGTAACCCTTGGAATAAAGGTTGGCGTTGAGCAATGCCAGCCTAAGTGCCAACCTCAAGGTGTTTGAGGTCAGCAAAAAATTGCCAACCTCGTTTCTATGTTTTATGGTAACCCCATTGTGCTAATTTTTTTTTTGCCGACCTATTGCGGACCTCTAACAGTTTGAGGTCAGCAATTTATTGCAGACCTTATTTAAGTCCATTTTTTTTGTGCTGATTTAAAAATATGAAAAAATAGTTATAAAAAATGATTTTTATTCCCACTGGGTTCTTTAATAATATTTGTTACAAAAAATGTTACTAATGGAAATACAAATAACTTAATATTTTTCTAAAAAATTTAAACATTGAAATTAAATAGAGTTTATGTACATACTATTTATTTATTTATTTATTTTTTTTTTTTTTAACATCTTCACTTCCAACAAGGCTGCAAGCAATTACTATAAGAGTTGGAAGTTACTGGAAGAGAAAAGACTAAATCTGTAGAGCAAGATAACGATTGACTGATGACTTAAAAGATTGCAAATTATATGAATCAGGAAAGCAAGATGAAGGAAGCGAATTCCAAAGAACTGATGTTCGAGGAAAAAAACTAGAAGAATAAGATTTTTTGAAGCACTTTGGAACAGTTACAGAAAAAGGATGAGACTTAATTGAATGGCGAGTAACACGAGAATGAATTTTAGTAGATGGCACAAGGGACGCTAGCTCTTTAGAGCAGTGCCCATTATAGTATTTGTAGAAAAGAGAAAGAGAAGCAACATTACGACGATGTGACAAAGGTTGGAGATTGGCTGCCAGAGCAGGTCCAACTATGTTTACAATTCGTTTTTGCACCTTGTCTAAAAGAGAAAGAGCATCATTAGAAGATCCGCCCCAGATGTGGCAACAGTATTCCATACAGGGACGGATTTGAGATTTATAGAGATAGAGAATAGAATCTGGAGTAAGAAAGTGTCGAGCTCGATAAAGAGATGCAACCTTAGCAGATGCTAATTTTGCAATGGATTTGATATACGGTTTAAAAGAAAGATCAGAAGTAAGAGTTAATCCTAGAAGATGAATGGTAGATGACTCATCTAGTACATTACCATTCATAAATATAGGAAGATCTAAATTATTACGATAACGATTGGCCGAATAAAATTGAGTTTTATCTGAATTAAAGTTCACCAGCCACTGTGAGCCCCATGCTGTAGCAGAAGTGAGATCCTTTTCAAGCTCAGATACCCCCTCCAAGCAATCAGCGAGTGTAGGCTTCTTATCATGACAAGAGTAAATGGTAGTGTTGTCAGCGAATAATGCCACCTTAGATGTGAGAATATCTGGAAGATCGTTAATGTAAATTAAAAAGAGTATAGGGCCAAGGATTGAACCTTGAGGAACCCCTGAAGTTACAGGATGTGAAGAAGAGTGTTGTCCATCGAGGACAACTTTTATACTACGATTGGAAAGAAAGGACTCAATAATCTTAAAGACGTTACCAGCTACACCATAAGAAGAAAGCTTATGGAGAAGAGCAGCATGCCAAACTTTATCAAAAGCTTTAGAAATGTCAAGTGCGATAGCCTTAACCTCTCCACCTCTATCTAATGCACGGTAAAACCTATCGGTTATTACTGTTAGCACATCAGCTGTAGAACGAGAAGACCGAAATCCATATTGATGATCAGAAAGTTAGTTATTTGATTCAAGATGAAAGATTAAGTGTTTGTTGATTAAAGATTCAAAAACCTTGCTTATGACAGGAAGAAGACTAATGGGGCGGTAGTTAGATGAATCAGATCGCTCTCCGGAATTTTTGAAAATAGGGATAACAGATGCTGCTTTCCAGCATGATGGAAAACAAGACTCTGATAAGCACTTGTTAAATAGTTTAGAAAGTATGGATGAAAGCTCCGGAGAACACCTCTGCAAGACTACAACAGAAATGTTGTCAGGACCACAAGCTGTTGAAGAGTCTAAGCAGGAAATTACTTTAGATACAGAAGCTGAAGTGATGCGAATGTCAAGCAAGGGATCAACCTGTTTGACGGCTATGTCAGGTAAAACGCAACTAGTGGAATCAAGAGATGATATTGATGAAAAGTTCTTAGCAAACAATTCAGCTTTGTCTTTAGGTGAGGTGACAAAGTCTGAACCATACAAGAGAGAAGGAATAACAGATTTGCCCTTATTATTGATACTGTTAAAGATTCTCCAGAAGTCTCGAGAGCCTAATTTTTGTGATGAGATACGAGATTTAATGACCTGGGAATAGCGAGCTTTGGCGTCAGACAAAACCTTTTTACAATGGTTTCTGGCGATAGTGAACAGATGTCTGTTTTCTGGAGAATTGTTTTGCTGATAGATATGGAAGTAACGGTTTTGATTAGAAATTGCTGCAGCGCAATGTGAGGAAAACCAAGGAGAAGAGTGAGGCTTGACCTGGAATCGTCGAGAGGGAATAAAAGATTCCATGCCAGCCTGACTCCACGAAGTTATGTAAGAAGCACATTTGTCAGCAGGAAGACGAAAGATTTCTACCCAAGGGCTATCACGAAGAAAATCACGGAAAGAGTCCCAGTCAGCTTTAAGGTAGTTGTATGTGGTACGATGATAGGGGGATTCTGATGAAGTAGAAGAATTTGATAATAGTTTTAGAGAGATCAAACCGTGATCAGAAGTACCTAAGGGTGAATGTGGAGAAATTGAGCACTGACTAGGATCCAAAACAAGAAATAAGTCGAGTAGAGAAGGTAAATGATTAGGGTTGTCTGGAAAACGAGTTGGAAAGTTGACTATTTGAGTTAAAGATTGAGAAAGGCAAAAGTTGAGGGCCTTAACGCCAGCAGAGTCACTGACACTAGAGCCAAGCCAATCGGTGTGATGGGCATTAAAGTCACCAACAACGACGATTTTGGCCGATGAATAAAGAGAGAGGGCTTGGTCAATTTGATCAGAAATAACATCAAGAATAGTGCAATCTTGGGATGAAGGAGAGCGATATAGAACAAAGAGAAAGGCGATAGAGTGAAGTTGTGCTAAACGAAAGCACATAAATGAATAGTCTGTAGATTCAAACCTAGTTTCACGACAAATGGGTGAGTTCTTACGAATGTAGATGCCCAGGCCAAGCATGTGATTATTGGAGTCTTTACGAATTAAAGGAAGATAACCATCAACACTAAGATCACAAGATGGGACAGCCGAACTCAAATTAGTCTCACAAAGAGCAAGTAGGTCTGGTGAACTTTGCAAGAGATAAGACTCAACAGAAGAAAAGTTACTTCGAAGACCACGAATATTAGTAAATGATAGGTTTAGAGAACTTGGTGATGACAATGGTTTTTTGTGTTTTTTAGTTTTAGGTACTTTAGTCATTTTAAATTTATAAAGAACTTGACTCAAGTATAGATAGTACTCAGTACACTATTTAACAACTAAGCAATAGCCTCATTACTATTAATAAACCCTAAGCCGTAACAAAGGGCTCCAAATGTGGCCTCTGCAATGCACACCAAAAGTACAAACAGGGACACCATCCATGCGCAACATGGCACTGTTAGTACTCTGATATTTTTCGGCTGTTGATGGAATCAGCCTCTCTGAGAGCTACCACAGAGTTCGGGAAACCTGACTACCAGCCGGCCTCAGAACCATAAAACTGAGTTTTAGAGCTGTACCCTGATTAGGAGATAATAGAATGAGTTGCCCAGTCATAAAAATAGAGACACAAGCAATACCCACGCATTGAGTCAAGAAGATCCGCGTTCAACATCCTAAACTGGAAACAATGTATTAAAAATACATCTGTGCCAGCCTAATAGATGAGGAAGGGGTGCGAGGCTGGTCAACAGATAGAATCTGTTTACCCCTTAAGTCTTTGCCTAGGAGGCCTTCTACAAGACAGCAGCTGGATGCATGTAACATCTGCCCAAGATGAGTATTTTTATCGAGACACCATCTCTAGCCTTTACTTAACCAAGAGCCCCAAGGCAGGGGGTGTTTTAATTCAGAGTTAACTTCTCCTAGCCTTTGCCTAAAAAAGCGTATCCTACAATTTTATATATTATAGTTTTATATATTATAGTTATAGTAATTGTTTTATATAATACATACTTTAAATTTGAAATACCATCTGTTTATTTTTATGCTTATAATTTATTTATATAAATATATTTGGTGATTTTGTTTTAATTTTTTTTTATTTAGGTGTTTCATCGTCATTTTTTAAAAAGTAAACAGCATCCTCAACATAGTATAATGATTGAATTGAAAAAAAAAATCAAAGCACTTCATAATCATTTAAGTATTCGTATGTGTGGAGAGAATGGTCTTACAAAGTCAATCAATTCTTTAACATATACAATGAACAAATGGTGAGTGTTTTTAAAAGGAACATCTTAATAAAAAAAAAGTATTAAAAGAAATGGGGGAGGGGGGGGGAGAAATGTTAAAATTAATAAAATGATAATAATTTATTTAAACATTATAATATACTTATCATAATATTTAAATATATAAAAATATTATTTAGTATTTAATATTAAAAAAACACTTACAAAATATTTTGTATTTACTCTAACATATATTTATTTTTCTAAACATTTAAATAAATTTTTAATAAATCTATGATTCAGGATAAACAAGATCAATGGTGTAATTGATGGTCAGCTACTATTTGATTCGGAATGGATTCAGTTTGCTGGACACTTACAACAACAGTGGTTAGATTCAATTTCAAATATTTTGAGCATTCTCTCTACTTCAATAAATAATCTAAAATTTGACGCTAATACATTAGAAAGTTCACCTCAAACATATGATATTGTGCTACCAGAAAAAAAGAAGTCTAAATCTCAATTTATGCTGGTCAGTGAGGAACTTCAAATCTGGTTAAACAACACTGTTGAAAGCATCAATGAAGAAAATAACAAAACACTAGAACAAGTGTGAATAGTGTTGTCTTATTTTTTATGATCTTTAAAGTTTTATTTTCAACTTGAATTTTGAATCTTTTTTCAAATATATAAGTTTAATTTTCAATTAGGTTTCTCAAACACACTTAAGCATGATTCGTTGGGCAATTATTTTTCTTTTAAGAATGACTCCAGATGTTGAATCTCGAAATGCTAGTAAAGTAACAGTTGCAGACGTTAAATCTGTGATTAATTTAAGTATATTAGATGAATGTTCATCTCAAGCTATTGTCAAACAAGCAAACACAATTTTTAAGAATTTAGTATCTTTATGTGAACTTGTAAATGAAGCTTTAAAAAATGACTCTGCACTGTTTAGCAGTGACGATCTTAAAAAAATTGAGGTACTTTTAAAATTTAAGCTTTGTATTTGTTTTTATTTTTATGTTAATACAAAACTCAAATACAAAAACAAATACAAAAATGTTAATACAAAAATATTTTAATACATTTTATGTTAATACAAAACATGAGTTATTATAATAAACTACAATAATCCGTTTTGTAGATTGAATCTCAAGGATGGATTCAAACTGCAAGTCTGCTAGCAAAAGAACTTTCTGATGAATTTGTGCAAGTTGATACTTTTACTCAGGGTCAAACACCTCTTATTACTTATAAAAAAATAGAGAAAAACCAGTTTGTAAGTGTTTTATACTTAACTTTCTTTAAAAAAAAAATTAATACAATAGTCTATACAATATATAAAGTTCTGATTTAAAGTTTAAACTTAAAAAAATGTGTTAATTTTAACTATAATTAGAAAAAACTAAAGCTAAGTTTATACTAAAATGAGTTTTTTTTGTTAAAGTTGATGAAGCACTTTTTTAAATTCTAGTCTTCTAAAACAAATCCTCAAGAAAATGTTTTTGATACTGTCTCAGAAGATTTACATTCAAATCAAATAATTGATGTTTCTGTAGATGATTTGGATCCATCTGATAACTTGAGCCCCAAAGTAAATATTATTAGTGATAACGAAATCTTGATCCGGAAATCTGTAAATTCATTTAACAAGGTAAGAAAATCACTTAATTTATTCAATAAAGTAATGAAACTTACAAATTCATTTAACAAAATATAGAATTCAAGTAACGGTGTTAATGTTTAATCATAAATCTAATCATGATTACATTTGCTCCAAGATTATTATTGGCTCCAAGAATGAACCACAAAGTACTTACAATAAGAGTTTTTTAATGATAACAAATATATTCACTGTTATAACTTTACATATATATATACTATAACTTTATCAGTTCTATGCAAATTTTTAAAGATTTTTACGTTACTTTTTACTATCCTTTTACTAATTATTAAAAAACTATAAAAATTTCCAGAATTTTACATTAAATTATGCAATATTGCAACATTGTATTACAAACTCCATTTTGTTCAAATAACAGCTTCCTTGCTGTTTAATTATCACTATTGCTTTTTCATTGCTTCACTTTTGTACTATACATCAGAATATAATGGAATGTTGTAACATATCACTACTTACTGAGAAACAATGTATTTTGTCATAGGATAACTATTTTGATAGACCTGTATATCAACTTGATGTGGAAAGGGAACTTTACTATTTTCATTGCAAAGTAAGTATGCAGCCCTAGCTATTCTTGGATTACCATATGTATTCTTGTTAACTCAAATTCCAACATACTTATCCATTTTTTCTGTTAATGTTATTACACATTCTTTAATTGGATTTCCTTTTCTCTTGCTCATTTTTCTTCAAGTCCCATGACTTCTTTCATTGACATAAGTTCCTTAATGAATCCATTGACTTTTCTCAATTCTAAATCTCACTGGGCTAACTAACTCTGAATCTATGTAACTATGAAATCTATTTCCAATTATAAAACTAAGTGGCTTATCTCCATCACGTATCCAAACTTGTGTAAATTAAGTTTATTTACCATTAGTTGGTTCTAAGTTTCCTAAATTGTGATAAATCTGTACATGTCCTCCAAACATTGTTTCAATGCCAGATCCAATCCATGATATAAATGACAAACTGTTATAGTAAAAAAAAATCTATGATATATTTATATGAAGAATCTTTAAACAAAATCTGTTATTTCAATAGATGGCAACTGTACTTTATCTTTATGCAACACATGCTATAACTACCTTTGTTATTAGACTCACTTGGTCCACAATAATATTCACTTAAGTCAGTTATTGCTGCTAACTTCAATGTTTTACATAATTTAAATGTACATACATTAATAATATGCGTTTTGTAAGATACTTACAAATTGATTAAGAGATTAGATCAAAACTATTTGTAATTAGATCAAAACTATTTATGTATTTTTTTGGTACTATGTATCTAAAAAGGTGTGAATATAAGTCAAATGCATTTTATATATAAATTGAACACATTCATAGCACATCGGAAAAACTTATGAAGAGGATAAATAAAAATTTTGATTTTATTAAAAAATCAAAATTTTTATTTATCCTTATTTAAAAAACAACTTCCCATGTTTTCAAACATGTTATTATTAAATATTAACTAGATTTCCGGATGTTATATTATTATTTATTAATTAATTATAATACTAATTATGACATTTATTTGGTAAATACCCAGCCACCTTTTTATATTGGTACTACATTATTACGTAATGATGTAATTGCGTAATTCCGGTTCACGGTTATGTTGAACAAAGAAACGTGCAAGTGAGTTTCCATTTTGGTCGGGACATTATATTGAGAGACACGAAGCAAGAACTTTACTTGTAGTGTGGTGTTATTAATAAATTACATATTGAGTTATTACTAAGAGTTGTTATTATATTCAGTGGTGTTATTGTTACTATTAGGTTATAACAATTGGCGACGAAGATAAAAAAATGATGCATTTATCAAATATATCTTGTTTGGATTTAGAAAATGACAATTTTGTAGAATATATTGAAAGATTTGACAATTTTCTACTGGCTAATGACATAGAAGATGCTGAAAAACAAAAAGCTGTATTTTTATCAACCATAGGAGGACCTGCTTATAAACTTATCCGAAGTTTATGTGAAAATGACACAAAGAATAAGAGTTTTACTCAAATAGTTAAACTAATGAAGGACCATTTGAAACCGATACCAAACTCCATTGCACAGCGTTTTCAATTTTATAAAAGAGATAGAAAAGATGAAGAATCTGTAAGCGGGTATATTACTGAATTACGTAGACTATCTGAACACTGTGAGTTTGGTGAAAACTTGAATGATTATTTAAGGGACAGGTTCGTTTGTGGATTAAATAATGAAAATGTGCAACAAAAATTATTAACCATAAAAAATCTAACGTTGGAGACAACACTTGACACAGCGAGAGCATATGAGACAGCATATAAAGATACCAAAGCTATTTGTACAAAAGAAAGCTTTATAGAGCAAGATGAATTGCATAAAGTAGAAATTCGGACAAAATCAGAAGAAAGTAAAGAATGTTTTCGTTGTGGGTTTAGGGGTCATCAAGTAAACAGTTGTAATTATCGTTATTTAAAATGTCATACATGTGGAAAGATAGGGCACATAAAGAGAAAGTGCAGATCAGAAAAGAAAGAAAGGGGTCATCAAGCAAACAGTTGTAATTATCGTTATTTAAAATGTCATACATGTGGAAAGATAGGGCACATAAAGAGAAAGTGCAGATCAGAAAAGAAAGAGTTAGATCATAGGAAGGAAAAGAAATTAGGTGTGAAGAAAATTGGGATTCAAGATGAATCAGAAAAAGGATGTACTGCTGAAACAGAGGGAAATAAAGATGATTTTCTAGCTCTATATTCAATAAGTGAAGAGTCCGATAAAGTGACTGGACCAGTTATGGTTAACGTAAAAATTAATGGAAGTGAGGTTTCTATGGAAGTGGATACAGGGGCAGCTGTCTCTGTAATGGGGATCTCAGCTTACAAAAGAATAAAGAAGAATGAAGGAAAATTACAAAATTCTGGTGTTGTTTTGAAAACCTACACAGGAGAGCTGATTAGACCAGAGGGAATAGGGTTGGTTGAAGTAGTGTATAATGGACAATGTTGTAAGTTACCTATAACTGTAGTAAAAGGAAATGTGCCCACATTAATGGGTAGAGACTGGATGCAGCGTTTAAATCTGCAATGGTTAGAACTGTTTAAAAGAATGAGAGGAATTAATTTTTGTGATAAGGTTGATTTAAAAGTGAAGACATTAGTAGAAAAATACCCAGAAGTATTTAGTGATCGTTTAGGGTGCTTGAAGAACTTCCAATGTCACATACCACTACGTGAGGGTGCAGAACCTAAGTTTTATAAAGCAAGACCAGTACCCTATGCTTTAAGGACTAGAATTGAACAAGAACTTGATCGCTTAGAAGACCAAGGAGTTTGGAGGAAAGTCCAGTATTCTAAATGGGCAGCCCCTATAGTGCCTGTTTTAAAGAATTCTAAGGATCCTACTGGTCCATTAAGAATATGTGGAGATTATAAGATTACAGTAAATCAAGCAGCTCCAGTTGACAGTTATCCAATACCGAATATCACTGATCAGTTAGCCACTATTGCAGGAGGAGAGAGATACACCAAGCTTGATTTGTCTCAAGCTTATCAACAATTGGAATTAGATGAAACTTCGCGAGAGTTTTTAACTATAAATACTCACCAAGGGTTGTATCAACCGACTCGTCTTCAATTTGGTGTACATAGTGCGACTGGCATCTTTCAAAGGGAGATGGACAGGAGGCTGGGCAGACTGTCATTTGTAAAAGTGCGAGTAGATGACATACTTATATCTGGGAAAACTGATGCTGAGCATCTGAACAACTTAGAATCTGTTTTAAAAATTTTGAAAGAATCAGGACTGACGCTAAAAGTATCTAAGTGCTCATTCATGCAACCTGAGGTGGAGTTTTGTGGATTTATAATTAGTCAGAAAGGTTGTAAACCAACAGCACGGAATGTGGAAGCAGTAATGAATGCGCCTCGACCCACGAACATCAAGGAGTTGAGGGGATTTTTAGGAATGGCCAACTATTACAATGCCTATATACCCAGGATGGCTTCCATCACAGAGCCTCTCCATAATTTGTTAAGGAAGAACGTAAGTTGGGAATGGAATAGAAACAGTGAACAAGCCTTTGAAAGCGTAAAAACTATATTGTGCAATGCACCTTTATTAGCTCACTTTGACCCATCAAGGAAAATCGTGGTTCACTGTGACGCCAGTCCATATGGCGTAGGAGCCGTTTTGAGTCAACAACAGTATGATGGAAGTGAAAAACCTGTCAGTTTTGCTTCAAGAACATTAAATATGGCAGAGCGAAATTATGCACAAATTGAAAAGGAAGGATTAGCATTAGTTTTTGCTGTAAAAAAATTTCATCAGTTCTTATTTGGACAAAAATTTACATTGTATACAGATCATAAGCCCCTATTAGGACTATTTTCAGAAAGCAAAGAGCTTCCTACAAGAGCTGCTGCTCAAGTGTTACGCTGGGCTTTGCTATTGTCAGCTTATGATTACCAATTACTATATTGTCCTGGCGAAAAGAATGCAACTGCAGATGGTCTAAGCCGTTTACCTTTAGATGTATCAAAGGAAAAGTCAAGGTTAAAAACCAAAGAGGTGGCTATGTTGGAACTAGTAAAAACCCCAATTACAGAAAAACAGTTAAGAGGAGCTACCCAAAACGATCCAATATTAGGAGAGGTACTGAATAGAGTGTTAGAAGGAGGGTTGACGATGGAGCCGAGTAAGGTGGAGATGAAACCATTTGCATTAAGGTTTTCTGAGTTATCAACGGAAGGAGGTTGTTTACTGTGGGGAAGAAGAGTGATAGTGCCAAGTGTCTTAAGAGAAACGGTACTTGAGGAATTACATGAGGTGCATCCTGGAATAAGTAGAATGAAGGCTTTAGCAAGAAGTTATGTTTGGTGGCCTGGAATTGACACAGAAATAGAGGATAAAGTAAAGAATTGTGAGACATGTCAAAGAAGTCAGAAGAATCCATTAACCTGGTCTCATCCTTGGGAATATCCAAGTAGACCATGGGAGCGACTACATATCGATCATGCAGGCCCAATGAATGGAAAAATATATTTGGTAGTAGTTGACAGTTTTTCAAAATGGATTGAGGTGGAAGTAGTGCACAGTACTGAAGCCAAAGCAACAATAAAGGTACGAATGGTTCAAACATTTAAGAATTCAATTAAAAACTTTCAAGGAAATGATATCGAGACACAGTTGTGCCGATTTCTTTTTAAATATCGTGTTACACCTCATTCTACTACTGGAGTTTCTCCAGCTGAACTTTTATTGGGTAGAAGATTACGAAATCCGTTGTCGATGCTACATCCTGAAGTTAGCTCTCGAATCAATGAAAAGAAGCTGTCAGACAGTTCTGTGGATAAAGTTTGTTTTTTTTTCAACCAGAAGACACAGTTTACGTCAAAAATTATAGTAAAGGTGAAAAGTGGATTGCAGCTATAATTATATCACCAGTTGGGAATGTTAGTTACAAAGTGTTAACGTTAGATGGTCGTATCCAGATGAGACATGTGGACCAAATTGTAAATCGTTATGTGGAAAAGGTTAACTCTACTAAAACACCAGCATAAATACTCCTTTTCTGAGCAATGCTGATAAACCAAATGAAGTGATTGAAACTCCGTGTTCAAGCGAAATCTTGAGTGAAAATCGTGATGAGATTAGCATGGATGTTGAGCCCGAGAAACTGTGTGAACAGCCTGGTGCTTTTTCTGAACCAACCTCTTCAATTAACCGAAGATCAGGTCGAGTACGTCGTAAACCATCTTATTTAGAGCAGTACGAATGATTTATGGGTGGAGGATTAATGTAATTGCGTAATTCCGGTTCACGGTTATGTTGAACAAAGAAACGTGCAAGTGAGTTTCCATTTTGGTCGGGACATTATATTGAGAGACACGAAGCAAGAACTTTACTTGTAGTGTGGTGTTATTAATAAATTACATATTGAGTTATTACTAAGAGTTGTTATTATATTCAGTGGTGTTATTGTTACTATTAGGTTATAACACGTAAATGGTTACTTAGCAAAAAAAAAAAAAAAATGCAGAAAATAGTATATGATAAGTTTGTTTCAGCATAAAAATTTGTTATAGTGGTAATATCACAATGAATATACTCAATCTGCAAAACAGGTTAATGCCAGGAAAAGGGTCTGCTTGTAATTCTTTATTAGTATCACATTTGAATTAAAAAATGGCATTGTGGAAACCCATCCAAACACTCAAGTGTTTAAGATATGTAAAACATGTTTACACAAAACATTATTAACAATCACAAGATACCCTGCTCAAATGTAGAGATTATAAAAATTTCAACTTTATTGTCTATACAAAATTTAATTTTATTAAGAAGTTTTAAATTTTTTTTAAGTTTCTTTTTAGTATGACCATGCAAAAGTTACAACATTATCATTATGAAAAAAGCAGAAATTTTAAATGGTCATTACTTTAAAACACTAAAATTATATATGAAATTTAAAACCTGTCAATGAAATTAAATTTTGTATAAGATAATAAAGTTGAATATTTTATCAACTCACTTTCTTCACATTTGTGTTGGGGTGTCCTTGTTTTGGGGTATTTTTGCTCCCAGGGTTCACCACCAATATTTTTTGCAAAACATTTTTACATGACATAAACATGAATGTACCTAAGTTTGAAGTTTCCACAGTGCCTAAAAGTGTTATACCTGAAACATAAAATAATCCTGTTATATCTGAAAACCTAAAAGTGTTATATCTGAAACATAAAATAATTCTGTGGATGCCCATGAATGCAATCATATAACTTTGTTGAATAGAAACATTTTTGGAACTGGAACATTTTAATTTAAATTTTACTTTTAAATTTGACAGCAAAGTTGTTTTTTTTTTTTTGCAAACTAAACTCCTGTTGTGTGTAATAAATTTCAAAACAATTTAACAACATTAATCACATGCATAACAAAAACAACATATTTGATGTGATCATACATTTTTATCTGTAAAGCTTGTTATAGTTAAAGGAAAGTGGCTACACCCTATTGTTGTGCTGTATTTTTAGAGTTATTGGAAAAACTACCTTGATATTGCTGACTAAAAAATGATAATATGCTTGTATACTGCTTGTAAATCTTATGGGAATTTAAAGAGCACAGTAATAAACCAAAATAATACTTTTTTGTACACTAGTATTGCAAAAAAACTTGATTTCAATGAAGCTGCTGAATTCTTAACAATCTATTAATGAAATTTTTACACAAAATTCTATTTTGATTTGTTAACAATCTATTTATGGAGTTGGCATGCAATTTGAAGGAAGTTCCTATATATTTTACAGGTTCCAATATATTAAACCCTTTTTACCAAAAAAAAAAGGTAAATTTTAAAGACATCTCTGTGATCCATGGGGTTGGTAGTTGTTACAAAAGTGTTATTACTAGATCAAAAATTATAAAAAACTTTGATATTTAACTTTGGTTGTTGTAAAAAAACCTTGTCCTTAAAAAGCAATGGAACCACAAGATGTTTTTTTAAAAAGCCAAAAAATTCAATCTGTCTCTAATATTTTTTTACTTTATTTTAAATATGTTAAATAATAACATATATTACACTATATCCTTTATTTAAGATAAAAAAAAAAATTAAAAAAAAATTTTTAAACAGTAAAACTTTGTAAGTCTGAAGAGTTAACTAAAAAGATGAAATTGATTATGGTTTTTAATTTATTAATCATTTGTTGTTAGATACTGAATAGTTAATACAATTAATTTTTACTTATTACAACTACATAGAAATTGAATCATTTTATTATCAAGTATTTAAACTGATAAGTATTTTTATCAGTTTACATAACCTTTTGCATCATTAACAGCATCTGTGAGGCATGTTTTCAACCAGTTTTGTTAACAAAGTACCTTCCAGCTAGTTTCATGTAAATTCCAGCTAAAAAATTATTTCCATCCAGAAATAGATGTGTTATACTGGGTTTTAACTGATGCAATAAAATATAGTTAATCCATGGTTCCTTTAACTCTGTACAGGTTTCCCATTTAATGAGCAGCAAATGTAGCACAAATCATGATTTTTTTAGTTATGTTTTACTGTGGTACCTGTACACTCTGGATTATATCTTAATTCCTGTTCAAAAGATCTCTGCACCAGTTTAGTCTCTTTGCATGTTTTTTTTTTTTTTTTTTTTGTTAATGAATGGCTTTTTGTTTGCAACTATAAAGTAAACTCTTTACTTACCTTTATTCTTACAACAATTGTATTGTTTCATAAGTGTTAAAGTTTTAAATTTTGCTGACTCACTGATATCCTACAGTTCTTCACTTCTTTGGTGAGAATCAAGCAAACTTCACTTCTTGTAGTTTTTTGCTTTTTTTCAGCAAACTTTCTGCTAATTCATTTTTTATTTATTTTGATTAGTGAAATGGTGTAAATATTTTAAGCATTCAATATTAAAAACCAAATATAGAAAAAAAAAATAGCTAAAATCAATTTTACCTTATTTGAAAATATGTATGCACTTCTGCAGTTGAGTTAAATTTCAACAATTTAATTTAATTTTTTTTCTAGCTTTATTAAAAGGTATATAATTATTACTTTAAGAAATAAAATCTTAAAATATTGAATTTTATGATTTTTTTTAAATATTAGTGCTTTTCTGTTTTATTGAGGACACTGCAGCTATTAAATAAGCTATAGTATAAATAAAACATTTTTTATACAAGTATTGATTTAAATTTCCTCTTTTAATTAAATAATATAAATTGTTCAATTGATATTAATAAATATTGATGAAAATAAATGAATCAGGTTATTATTAAATGTACTTTTAATGGAGCCAACTCAGCATCTTGAGCAATTAAGTATTCATTAGGATTATAAAGCATTAAGACACATTATGAAAAAATATTAGGCTATCATGGATAGTATTTTTTTTAAAACATTTAAAATTTACAACTGTTTTTAGTGCAAAAATGAAATCTAAAAAATCACTCTTTTATTTGATTGTTAAAAACTGAAAATTATTTTTATTTAAAGCAATAATGTTGTACTGTAAAAGAAAAAAAAGAGAAAAATAGTGTTTTGAAAAAATTCAATATATCAATTATTAATGGTGTTAATTCTGTCTTTGTTATCCTTAATTAACTTCTAGTATTCCTGAAGAAAAAGTTTGATGTTAACCTCATGTGGTTTGGGTGATTGATTAATTCTCCTGTATTCGTAAAATCCTGATTTCTGATCATATATCTTCTAAATAGTTTCAACGTGCCCTTAAATATAACATTAAAGTTTAATAAATTTTTTTTTAATTTAATTTTATATTTGTATGGTAAGATTTAAGCCTATTTTTTATCTGTTTTTATTTGTGTATTTAGTTTAGCTTAAAGAAACTTTTGTATTTAATACATTAGCTATTGAACAGAGTATTATTTCAAATAAGAGATCTGATATGGCATTTCTTAGTAATTCAGTCTTTTTTGAGAAATTCCGTTCCCTCCTCTGAGATATCAAATCAAAAGTTTGAGAAAAATATAAAAATTTATAACTTCTTTTATTGTTCTTTTACTGTATTTCTTACAGGTTGTACGGGCAAACATTTTAAAATTGATAAGCATGGTTATGATATGATCTTTTATTACGTTTCTTAGAATCTTGTTATTAATTATGCTTTATAGAGCGTGTACACGAAATAAATAAGAAAGTAGAAAAATAACTAAAAAAAAGTACTCTTCAATTTTTATTTTTAACCAAGTAATAACTTTAATACAATAATATAAGAAGATCAAATAAAAAAAAAATATCAAATTATTCCTGTGGGAATCTAATAAAATTTCGAACTTTTGCTTTGATGGTACCCATAAGCTTGTGCACAGAATAAGAATTGAAGCCATTTAATGCTTTTTTAAATGATCATTTAATATCTTTAATATTTCTGCAAATTTTTTTTGTTTTTTTCATTTTTCTTTTAATGATGGCCCAGTACTTTTCAATAACTCTTAATTATGGGCAGTTTGGAGGATTTTCTGTTTTAGGCACAAATTTGACATTATTATTTTTATACCATTCCAAAGCTAGTTTACAATAATGAATTGAAGCTAAATCTGAAAACCAGAACACAGGTCTCTTATCGTGTGATTTAATGAGAGGTAAAAGGCGTTTTTGTAAACACTCTTTAACATATATTTGACCCAAAAGTGTGGACTTAGAAATATAAGGTGCTGATTTTTTGCCACAACTGCAAATAGCTTGCCAAATCAAGACTTTTTAAGCAAACTTTGTCGTGTTTTATGTATTTAAATTTCTTATCTGCTTTTCCTCTATATTTGGCAATATAATAGACGGCACCAGGAATTTGCTGATGATGGTACTTGATATAAGTTTCATCGTCTTCAATAATACAGAAATTTTTAGAAATAAAATTGTCATACAACTTTTTGCAGCGCGGTTTTTGCACTTTTTTTGTTGAGTTTCAGATCGGTTGGGCACTTTTTGTGCTTTGAAAGAATGAAAACCATGTTTATTTCGAACTTTTACAACAAAACTATGAGAAAGTCCGTAAATATTTGCGCGCTGCCTTAGTGAAATGCTTGGGTTAGTCTTAAAACTGTTAACCAGTTTTCTTACTAGTTTTTTATCTTTAAAACCCTTCTTTCTTCCACCACCAGATTTACGTTTGATCGATTTTGTTTGAGAAAAACGTTGGATTACACGACTAACGGTGTATGGATGTATTTGCAACGCTTTTGCTATCGAATTGTTGCTACTATTGGGATTTTCCAAATATTTGTGCATAATTTTTTTCTTATGTCTTTTTCTTTTGTCATTTTTAAAACTGATTTAAAGTTAAATGAAAAAACTAATACATTTTTTTGAAACCACAACACGTTGTAAACAAAATACAAAACAGTTAAAAAGATTTTAATATAACCACTGAAAAAAAATGACGTACTTATTCTTTCACATTTATTTCATGTACACGCTTTATAAATATAATATAAATAACTTTTTTTATACTTAAAAGGAAATTGCTAATAAATAGTTGCAAAATTATTATTTTTTAATTTTTTATTTCTTGTGGTTTTTAAAATGTTATCATGACATTTAACATTTTATAAAAAGGGTAAATTACCCTTTGCGCCCCTCCCTCTTTTGAACCCACCACTGTATATACAGAGTTTTTTAAATTCTTTTATTTATGTTTCTTAATGGTTTCTTCTTTGAGTCTCCACATTCTACTAGATTATAAAACATAATTTGTTTATATGATTTTTTATCAGAAAGTAGTTGATTAAAAGTGATAGTCGTAAAAATTTTATGTGTTTATAAAAATATGCAATAAAAAATATGGAATAAATAAAATAGTGCTAATATATTATTGTTTGTACTGATAGCATAAAAGTGTGATGCGACATAACAACAAATACTATAAACTCATACTATGTATATGAGTTTATATATGTTATGCATATACATATATACATAACAGATGCTCAAAAATTTGTATAAAAATATTCTAATTCGCAGTTTTTTTTGTTGTTGTTTCTGTTGTAGACCTATTTTTTTTTTATTGCATAGTATATTAAGTACTCATCTCTTCAGATTGTTTTATTTATTATTTATTTAGGTATTAAAGACAGCATTCAAAGGTAATTATCATATCAATTAAAGACATGGAAACATAGACATAACAGTCTTTCTGTATGTCAGTTCAACTTGAAGGTTTTTCATGTTTAATGCGGTGTCGTTGTTGTTTTTGTGCTGTTTTTTTGTAAAAGTTGAGTATGTGAACATCCTTGAAAAGTCATAGATTTCTATTTTTTAGAAGGTCCTGTCTTGAATAATGGTGAACTTAATTCGCTGCAACATTTACAATCACAACTTATGTAAGTACTATATTGTTATACAGCAACTGCGGCATGTAATTTAACAAATGTGACATGTAATACAACAATTGTACACTGCTATAATTAGGCTATATAATTATGTATATGTGTTTATGTTTGTTTATATATATATATATGTACATGTGTCTAGTGTTTGAATATTCGGGCCGGATTTGTATATTATCCGGTATAATAAAATAATCTGGTTGGTTATGCAGGGTATTTCATGGTTATCAATAATAAGGAAAAAGCTTGTTATAACTATTGTAAAATATATAGTTTATTATTTATCTTAAAAGATACACAGTTTAGACCTGATCAAATCATTTGCTTATTTACAGATTATGAGAACCTAAAACACAAATTTCAAAGTGTTAATCTTCTTAAATAATATAATGTTAGTGGAATCAATAAGTTATTGTTCAAGGTATAGAGTTCAAACAATTACAAATTAACTCTGCACAAAAAATACAGATTTTATCACTCGTAAATTTATTTGCATTGTAATGAATAAGCAATAAGATTCTCCACCATGATATAACAGCCTTGGTCGTTTTTTCTCATTAATATTTCCTTATTAAAAAAAATAATCTCTCCAAAAGTACAGAAAATGCTGCCAGTGCTAATAATTTAAGGGCTGATTAGCAGTGGAATGTTTTCTTCATGTTTCCAATAATTTAAACCATCAGTGTTTTTATTTATAATTGAGTGATTAAAAAAAACTTCTTGAGCAGCTTGTGCAAAGGAGACTTGCTCTGAATTTATATGACCATTATGTTCTAAAAAATAATAACAACTGAAACTACTAAAGATGATTTTAGTAATTTTGTTAAATGATATGAAATAAAGTAAAATAAAATAGCTAAGCAATTTTCAAAAATAACTTACAAAAACATATAAAATTAAACGATTTTTAATAACAATAAAAGCAAATAATCTTATTTAGTTTTGGCAAAATGCTATTAAAAGACAAGTTTGGTGACAATTTTTTTTATAAACAGAAAAATAAGATCTTTACTTTTTTTTATTTTCTGCAAGTTCTGAAAATCATTCTCTGTCAAATCTTCTTTTTGGCTTTAGTTGTTCAATGATCAGAACTGATAGCAACGTCAATAAACTTCTGGTAAAAGTTTTTTATTTCTTCAATTTTTCGAAATGGCCTACTATTCTACGTGCTTTAGCTAGCAAATCTATCACTAATATTTGGGATAAAACTGTATCCTTAATTACAAGCTGTAATAAATGAGTTGTGCAATTGAATGACGTTATTTGAACAAGTTTACTTTCTAGAGACATATTAGCAGCATCATCTTTAGCTAAGATATGTCTTATTGGTGCATTAATTTCCCAACTATCTAAGGTATTAATAAATTTTCCAGTTATATTTATTCCTGTGTAAAATTCTAGAAAATGAGAAGTATACCGTACAGCATCTTAGCACTCAATTTATATATATATATATATATATATATATATATATATATATATATATATATATATATATATATATATATATATATATATATATATATATATATATATATATATATATTTAATGTCCTGATAAAGAAATAAATGTTTTATGAGACGAGGGACAAGTCACTGTATCTGAAGTGAAACTTATGTATTGTGATTTTGTAATTTCATTAAAAAACTTTTTTTTTCTTTGTATCGTCATACATATTGTTTGTGTGTGTGAGTATATCGGTTACATTGCCAATTTTCCAAGTTGAGGTGCACTTTACATTAACGGGAAGAACGTAAACTTGTTTCTCAATTCTATAAGTTTGTACACGCTATTTCTCACATATGTTTGTAAACTCATTTGAACTAACACCGCTCGATTGTTCATCGATAGTTCTTGTGATGGACCATGGTCCCTTAATACATAATCTAATCGAATTACTACACTCCTGATATCTTCGCGAGGCACCTTTCTCCAAATTGTAAATCGATTTGGTCCACAGTCAATCATTGTTAGGTATGGTGATCTTTTATATTGAGTCACATTACTAGCAATACAATACCATGTATCTGGTGCATCTGACACTCCATGTTCCGATTTTATTGGCACTGGATCAATTAAATTACATTGACAACATTTGCGCACAAATTCTTCAACGTAATTTCTCAGTACTACGGAATTATTTGTTGCACTGTAAAGATAGTCCGATTACGCCAAAATGATGCTTTACGCAACATTTGCGAATTTTATCTTCAATATTCACCCCACATAATTCTTTAATATTTCTTCGTGAAAGCTCATTTAACCAGGTTTTTGAAGCTCTTTTTAATAGATTAACTTCATTTTTGGTAAACGGAACCCACTTCATCGGAATTTTCATGCGGTATTCTTTAATTAAATCTCGCTATAGAAAAAATCTTTAATTAGCATTTCCGATAGTCCGTTTGATCGAACTCTATAACTTTCAGTCAGAACACTTTAAGTCGGCGAATACTAATAAGTTCTTTATGTACTACTTAATGACTAGTTTATCCCACTCACCAGACCGTCTAATTCAGCCATATTAACATGCATGATATCATTAATATTATATCTTCAATTATTACGCTATCATATTCTATTGCAACTCCGATTGCCATGCTACTAGCATTACACTACAATATTGCTCCATTTTGAATCTTTTCAGCATTCCATGTTCCTATAACAGAATCACTAGCTTTTAATAAGCGCAAAATTTTGACCAACCTAAACTGATCTTGATCTCCGATTACCTGATCCCAAACATCTCCTTGACTATCAAGTTTTTTAAAATTGCAGGCAATTCTGAGCTTTCAACTAGATTTCAACAGGATAGTGTTTTCTATCGTGTTCATTTTTTTCATTTTTAATATTTTTTGCCTTTGCAATAATATTGCCATGTTTCCAAGAATGCTCTTTCTTTTCGTTTCCAAATAGCTGTAAACCTAACACCCGTGCAGCATTTTATTCCTCCTTTTTTAACAATCTTTTTTTTTTTTTTTTTTTTTTTTTTTAGTTGATTAAGGTTCCCCAAGAAGTCCTTACGGTCTTATCACAGAGCACCGCGGAAGAGCATTTAATAGGAAATTCACGCCTCCTTCCCAACCGATGTAGCAAAACTTGCCCAGAGGTGGGGATTGAACCACGGGTCTTACGTTTCTGAGGCAAGTGCGCTACCATCAGTGATATTTTTGTTCGGAAAATAATTTTAGTTTTAGTTTTTATTCAGTTTAGAGGCAAAGTTTTTAGTTCTAGTTCTTATTCAGTTCAGTAAATAAATTTAGTTCTAGTTTTTATTCAGTTCATCTTAAAATAATTTTAGTTTTTATTTAGTTCAATTTTCGTTTGTCGTATAAATTTTTTATCTCATCTAATTATAATTTAGTATAATTTATAAATAATATAGGCATATAAAATTAAAAGAGGTAAGTCTTAGTTCTATAAACAAACAAAAAAATGAGAACTTAATTAAATGTAATACACCCAGTCCCATGGCTAGAAGTTTAGAGCCCCGCCCACCGCCTTTAATAAAAAACACAACAACAACCTGTCCTTATTGCTCTAAAACTTAAAAAAATTTCAATTATTAGGTATAAAAAAAACTCCTCAAATTTGGTAACAATAAAAACTAATGAATAGTTATTGTATAGACTTTAATAAATACTCATATATTTTACAAATAAAGGGCCTAGTGATTATATGATTATCATCTAGACTAGATGAGAATTTAGTTTTAAGAAAACTCGCATTTCCAATGACGCTGACATTCGATTTCTCCGTCTATTTGTGAGCAAGCCACAGATTGAAAAAAGTCTTTCAACATATGCTTGAGTTGCAGGAGCTGCAATGAGGTCTTCAGCTAATGGTGCAATATGTGGGTAAACAGCACGTCTCATCTTCCAGAAATTTAAAGCATTTTGGCACATAGAGCTGTTCCTTATTTCAATAAAATATTTGTTGAGTTCATTTTGTGCTTCATTACCTAGAATAAGCTTTATTTTTTCTACTCGCTGTTTTGCCGCTAAAAATTTCCATTTTGTTAATCCATTTATTTCTGGAGCAATCTCAACAGAAAGAGTAGATGCACTTGCTAAAGGTAAATCATGTTGCACCGATTTTTTAGCCTCTGACAAAATGTATTTCTTTGCACAATCTCTGATTTGTGTATGCTCATTACCTAAAAGAGCTATTGCACATGTGGGGTCAAGTAGACATGCAGCACATGGCAGTGGATTAAAATTAGGATCGTTTGGCTGCAAAAGAACGGCAAAACGACGGCGTAGATCTTCAAGCATTTTAACTGCTACATCTTTGGCATCTCCAAATTGCTCAAGGTGACATTCTAAATTAAGTATTGAAGGTATAACACTGGATAGTGAAAGTGCATCCGTCTGAAGAATATCAGTTTCATTGGCAAAAGGTTCTAAAATATTGACGAAATCCTGAAGCATTATCCATTCGCTATTGGCAAGTGAATCAATGTTAAGGTCTCCAAGCACTTCGTTGATAGATGTCTTTATTTCCAGAAATCTCCGAACCATAAAGTAAGTGCTGTTCCATCTTGTAGAACAGTCGCTGATCACAGTCTTACCACATTTGTTGATAATTTTTTCCAATGCAACAGAAGATTTGCGAACTTTTCCCAATAATCCACGTACCTTCAAAAGTAAGTCATGATATTTACCATCATATGCAAGTTTTACAACTAGCTGTATAACATGTGCAATGCATCCCAATCTTCTAAATGCTAGGTTTTCTATTACATCAACTATCAAGTCAACATGTTCCCACTCTTCACTATTTGTCATATTCTCATCGTCTTCCAGATCTATTATCTGCTCTTCATTAACCTCACTTTCTAATTCAATAAGTATATCACGTTCAGCTTGAGCTTTCATTCTCGACAACTTTATGCCTTTGACCATGTTTGCTTCATTGTCCGAAATAACAAGCAATATTTTTTCTCTGGAAATATTCCAATATTTTAGGCATTTTTCAAAACAATTTGCAATTTGTT